CCTTGATGATGACGTCTGTCAACAAATGGTGATTGCTCTAGGAGGATTGGTTTTCATGGGTAACTCATCGAATTGAGCTATTAGACAATAATCTGATGGGCTGGAGAATGAGCTAACCATTATGGCAGTGACTGAGACCAATGAGCGCACAGGTGTGTGACAGGTGTGCACACGTGCACATCTGTCATTGAGGGATTCCAGCACACACAGCCTTCGCCATCGAGCAAAATATACACACTTGCAAAACTCGGGCAAGATGCTGGCTGCCTTGCGGAAGTTCAATGCTCCCACTGGGGGGCGTGGGTAGAATGAGATCACAGGGAACGCGAACCCTGGGTGAAGGAGTCCTTCTCAGCAGTGCAGTCCAGTTGATGGTGCACAGAAATGGAGAGAAAAGAGAGCAGAAGAAAAATCAAACTCTTCTCCCATAGAAGCAGGTGTCCATGGAAGAAGAACACCCCAGCAATGCTCATAGGATTTGTGCCCTGTTCTCCGATGATCAGCAGGATGGCGGGTCTTCCCACTGAGCACTGGTCCAGGCCAGTTAAAGATGGGAGACATGGCAGAGAAGAGCCGCCTGCCCACCAGGATGCCTGTGTTAGACGTGACGTGTATGAGCCATTTGGCACCCATGGGTGTGTGCCTGCAGTCCAGGTTCACAAGGTTGGGCCCCCGACTGCCAGGTTTTCTACCATGTGTGTGGACAATAGATTCCTGACGACCAAAGGCTCAGGTGGCAGCCGATCTTCAGTTTCTAGCAGGGAAGAAGCCCGGGTGTCCTGCAAGCCTTGCCGTTTGTAGTAAGAACTCTCTCTGCAGCCTGCATCGCTGGTGGAAGTTACCTGGTGTGTCTGTTGGCTCTCCATAACTGTGACAAGCACTCAAGATGACCCACTATGAAGAGGACAGGTCGTGCTGGGAGGTTCCAGTCCAAGGTCACATGACTCCCATGGTACGGTCCTGCATCTTAGTGAGAGGTCTGGCACAGTTGCAGCTGCAGAGGAAGAAGGAGCTGGGGTCCCACAGTGCCCTGCAGAGACCTAAAGTGCTCTCACCAGGCCCCTTCTAGTGCGAGCAGCTGACAAAGCTCTCAGCACCCTGCCTCACATTCCTGTGCACTGGCCTCTCTGTTACCTTCAAGGAAAAGAAATACCAGGTGTGTTCATTCCTCAAGGAGATGCCTGTGGCCACTTCTGACCAGCTTCTTTCCTGGCCCCACTGTTCTGTTGCCCCTGCTCCATGGTGGGCTGTGCATCATGCACATTTTGAGAGTCTCTGTAGGAAGAGTACACTCTTTTTTCAATGAGAAAGAGAGGATAAAAAGGAAGGCTTGACCACAAATTCATCACATGTTGTGATTACATAAAAATCTCATTCCCTCTGAGTCTAATAACCCCAAGGGTTTTTTTTTTTGGAGGGGCGAAGGGGGATTTTTATAGGAGAGGAAATGTACTTCTTTTGAAAAGGATTTTTTAAAAGAAGTCTGCAATGCTAAGTTTTGAAAAATGATAATACTATTGTTTAAAACTTCTTCAGAAATATCTTAAGCTCGGGCTGGGAAGGTGGCTCAGTGGTAGAGCACTTGCCTTGCATGCATGAGGCCCTGGGTTTGATTCCTCAACACCACATAAGCAGAAAAAAAAGCCAGAAGTGGCGCTGTGGCTCAAGTGGTAGAGCGCTAGCCTTGAGCTGAAGAGCTGAGGGACAGCGCCCAGGCCCAAAGTTCAGGCCCCACAACCAGACACCCCCCCCAAAAAAGAGAAATACTCTATACTTACGTTATTGGCACCTCTCTTATGAGTCATTTGTATCCATTTGTCAAGGCAGTTTGACCTTGGAACCCTTCTGTAGCCCAGCTCCTAGAAGACAGGAGGGTCTGGCCATGGGGGAGGAGGCCCTGCCTGGCCTCGGATCCCTGGCTTCCTCCCCACGCCATCCACAGCTCTCTACCTCAATCGGTGGAACTGCTGCCTTGAGCTGTTAACAAAGCAGAATTTGCTGGAAGGAACTTTGGGACTGTGTGTGTCCAGAAGATCTGTTTGTAAAGGGCAGGAATCCCAGAGCCCGAAGGTGGAGGTGCAGGGCAGGGCCAGGCTGGACCGGGCTGTCTTCCCGGGCTGCCCTTTAGAGTCCAGAGCTCGCTCCAGTTCCAGCCCTGTGCCCCTCACCTCCACCACGCCGCATCTCTTCCTTTCTGCTTCTGCAAGCAACGCACAGCAAGGCAGTGTCTTGGGCACCGTCTGGGAGTTGGTCCACTCACAGCACAGCCTGTCTAACAGGTGCGTGCCTGCGTGTGACGGCTTACAGAGTGAGTGGGACTGCACTCATGTGTTACAATGCTTGTTCTGGATAGAGCTCACATGGTGCTGTCCAGCCGGGCAGGTCAGCATAGTCTCAGCCAGCAGCTGGGGCCGCCTGCCATGGTTAGAACAAGATGAAGAACTCCCTGTTAGCCGGCCTTGGGCGGGGTTGGAGCGAGTTCCACAGGCCTGGTGTCCCTGGCCTCGAGTGCCTCCTGCTTCACCCTCTCTCCTTGGAGGCGCAGGAGGAGAGCAGCCATGGTTCTCAGAGGCAGTCCCCATTTGATGTGGCAGGACAGCTGCCAGCTTGCACCCCTCGGGGCCCAAACAGCTACGTTCTGAGAGAAAGGGGGGCTGGGGAGGGCTGCGGGAGCTTCTTGCCCCCTCCCCAGTGCCCCGCCCTCCACCCTGAGTTTGGACAGCTGTATTCTGAAGCAGCCACCAGACATTCCTCAGTGCTGCCCAAAGCCCCTCGCCACCAGAATCTCTTTCCAGAATTGTCTGTGCATGGGTCTCACCAGATTTGTAGTGGTATACCCCAGTGTGTGTGTGTGTGTGTGTGTGTGTGTGTGTGTGTGTGTGTGTCTATATTCCTGTCCCTGAGCCTCTCTGTGTTCAGGGCTAGCGCTCTACTACTTGAGCCACAGCACCACTTCCAGGCTTTTCCAAGTAGTTTATTGGGGATAAGAGTCTCATGGACTTTCCTGCCCTGGCTGGCTTCAAACTGTGATCCCCAGATCTCAGCCTCCTGAGTAGCTAGGATTACAGGAGTGAGCCACCAGCATCCGGAAAAATTCATTTTTAAAACTATCTTTAAGTAGTTGCACAAAGACCGAGGTGAGCCAGAACAGACGCCCAGGATGGACGCCCCAAGGGGGACAGGAGAGGACCCAGCAGCGAGGAAGAAGGGAGCAGCTGTCTTGAGACTGGCTCTGCACAAGCTGTGGTTGCTATGTGCACCATTTCTGCGAGAGTCCACTCTGCCCCACCCTTGCTGTACCAGGCGGGTCCACTGGCCCAGCTGGGGCAGGGGCAGAGGTGTGGGGGGCACATAGTCTCCCACAGTCAGCGGGAAGCGACACTACAGCCACCCAGATGGCATGCCATGCTTCTGTTTCAAATATTTTATTAATTGATTTGGCCAAACAGGGAATGGAAACTGAGAATAATAATTTGCTAAAAAGTTCAGGTCATGAATGCCCCTTCTAGCCCCTGCCCCGCCCCCACCCCAAACAAAAGACGCCATCGCCACAGAGCGCACCATTGGCTTATGACAACATTGCAAAATAATGTTTCTGTTTCATATGTAACAATGTAAACTTCAAAAATAGTAAACTCTAACCCCATCCCTCTTTATAGATCTATCACAGATAGAATTTTCTGGCAGACCTAAATTGTGTAAGTAAACAGCCAGGTGCATAAAAGTTTCATAAAAAGGTTTATGTATTCAGTAAATAATTTTTCAGACTGGTGTCGAAGTAAAAGCCACCTGCAGCCCCTCCCCAGTCTACCGGATGCCCGCATGGCACGGTACACCAGTCACATTCTAGAGATGCCGGTCGCCGGCTGTGTCAATGTTGAATGCAAACACACACGGATAGTCTTGTTCCTAGAGATGTCTACATCTAAATGATAAGACAGCGCCAGTGACTTACAATGTCACCTCGCTTCACATAGGTAAAGACGAAAATTCTGTAGAAGGCACTGTAAATTCTCCTGCATGAACTTGTGAAGACACAAGAGAGAAGGCCGGCCGAGGTTGGACTTTTCTTGCCTTTCTGTGACCTGGTACGGGCCTGTCTTCTCATGGTTTTTATGTCCAATGTTCTTTCCTGCTTTATTGTTTCCCATCCCACCCATGCATCTGTTCACCATCTGTCCATCCATCCATCCATTCATCCATCCATTCATCCATCATCTTACTCATCCATTTATCCATCCATCCATCCATCTACTCATCCATCCATCCATCCCTCCACTCACCCATCCATCTACCCATCCATCCACCCATTCATCAGTCCATTTATTCAACCATCCATTCATCCATCCATTCATCCATCCACTCACCCATCTATCCATCCATCCACCCACTCACCTATCCATCCACCCATCCATTCATCCATCCATCCATCCACCCACCTATCCATCCATTCACCTATCTACCCATTCATCTATCCACCTATCTACCCACCCATCCATCCATCCATCCATCCATCTATCCATCCACCCATCGACCCAGTTACCCATTCAGACTGACAGTTATCTTTTGGTTCATTGAAATTCCTTAAAATTAAGAGTACAGCTCTGGTATAAAACAAAATATGACCTACTACAGCTGAAAAATAATCACAGTGTACAATGTCATTTTCAGTTGCTAAGATTCAGGGCATGTGCCCTGGCTTGTCCAGCTTGCCTGTCATCCAGACGACCGATGTAAGGCTCATCTGAAATGACTTTACATTCATTGAAGAAGCGCTGAGGAGTTCTTCCATCTTCTGTATGTCATCGGAACCCTTAAGTGGAAGGTCTGATATGGAAAAGTGCAAGCAAATTGGACATGCCAATAAATACCATAGAATTTACCGCAGATTACCAAAACTGTACAGGTATGTACACCTTACCCAACTGAGGGGCCTCTGTCAGGAACAGGCCTCCAAATCCTTACCACGGGGGCATCCCCAGAGTCCCAGAGGAACGGCCTCAGCGTGCAAAGGACGGGCGAGCTCTTCTGCCCCTGCTCTGGGGGCCAGAGCTCAGGTCCCCGCCACTCTCTGCCGTCTCCTCCTTCTTCCTCACTTTGAGGCGCGTGAGCAGCGTGATCAGCCAGACATCCCACTCCTCCGGCAGCAGCAGCAGCAGGAAACCCAGGCCGATGATCACGATGGCAATGACCCTCACGCCATTGAAGACAATCTCACTGGTGTAGTGGTCCACCACTGCGGGAAACAGAGTGGGGTCAGCAGCTGGGCCACAGAACAGGAGGCCGCAGCACTGGGCAGGGAGGGTCGGCCAAGAGGGTTGGGGTCCTCCAGGACCCCAGAATCCTCTACCAGGAGTTTGTGCCAGGCAGGCTGGGGCTGCGTGCAGCAAATCATCTTGAAGTTGGTTTTGCATATCACCTCCAAAATCCAGCACCTGAGTTTAAACATTAATTTTTGGTGTCTGAGAGAAAAACAGCTCAGGAGTAGTTGGGATCTTTATGTATTTAGATGGAAGTGTAGCAAAGTTTAATTCTAGCTGCCTCTTGGTGTCCTATAAGGAAAATGGTACTGATATTTCTAAAGTTCTTTTTTGGGGGGCGGCGATGGGGGAGTTGGGGTAGGCTGGGTACCAGTGGCTCACACTTGTCATCCTAGCTACTCAGGAGGCTGAGATCTGAAGATCAAGGTTCAAAGCCAGCCCATGGAGAAAAGTCTGTGAGATTCTTCAATTAACCACCAAAAAGCTAGAACTGGAGCTATGGCTCAAGTGATAGGACACCAGCTTTGAGCAAAACAAATAAGAGCTCAGAGCAGCAGCCTCCAGGCCCTGAGTTCAAGTCCCAGAATTGTCACACACATAAGAAAATTTTTTTTTGTCCTTTTCACATTCTCTATAAGGACATACTTTACTTCAATAGTTTAAAAACAGAGTTTCACCTATTTGATTTGAAGAGCAAACTTGACTGGGAGCTGGGGATGAGGTCAGGAGATTCTGCGCAGACAGTCCCGAACTGAAGCCAGCATGAGCCAGGCCGAAGGAGAAGGTAAGGGGCAGGTGGACAAGTTTTGGAAAAGCCGTCCACTGTGTGTGTGTGTGTGTGTGTGTGTGTGTGTGTGTGTATGCCCCAGAGCAAACAAGCTAAGTCCTAGCACCCAGGCAACGGTGCCTGGCTTCCTTCTGGGGCAGAGGAACTGGGCTGTCCACGCCTGCTCAGTTCAATGTGCTTCCACACCGCACCCGACCCAATGTCTCACCAGAAAGTCACTTGCAAAAACCGAAGCATAGTTTTCTGTATCTAATAACACCGAGACTCAGCTCTGTTCTCCTCAGTGATTAAATCGAGACAACTGCAGACTTTCTGTGTCTCGGCAGATCCCCGAGGCTCAGTCCTCCTCAGAGGTACTGTGTATGTAGCGTGCAGCACCATGAACGTGCTCTCTCAGCAGAAGATTAACCATGCTTCATATACCACGGACAACAGGAAATGGTGTGAGTGTAAATGTGAAATGTGTGTGTGTGTGTGTGTGTGTGGATGTGAGAACATGTGTGAGCGGGGGTAAGCCTGCATGTGAGCATGTGTGTGTGAGTGGTATGTGTGAGCCTACATGTGGGAGCGTGTATATAAGGCCATCTAAGTGAGCACATAAGTGTGTGAGCTGTGTGTGCACATCGGTGACAAGTAGGCAGGTGGGCACAGCTTACCTGCATTCACAGGCACACTGAGGACGATCCCGAGGGACATCAGCGTTGGGTACGTCACAGCAATCCCAAAATTTAATACGATATTGAATGCTGAAATGAAGGTTGCAGGAGTCATTGGCACCCGGCTTCTCAAGGGGTGAAGTGCCTGGCCCGGGGTGTCAGTCAGGCTGAAGGCAGCTTGCTCGGCTGCCCCCCCCCGTCCCCTCCTCCTCCCCCCTCCCTGCAGGAGGACTTGCTGGGCATGGGGACTGGCCATGGAGACAGGGTCTCCTCCCAGCTCTGCTCCTCTCCTGCTGTCCCATTCTCTGCTCTGGCTTTTCTGCTCAGCAGGTGGTCTTCGTGGAGCCCTGGTGACCTTGTCAGGTGACCAGGGAGATGGCACCTAGGCAAGGTGGTCTCTATGCCTGACTCTCCTGCTCCCTGTCCAGCTGTGATTTGGGGGACAGGCCTAACATGGTGGCCTGGGCAATCGAGGGGTAGTCGAGGGACCATTTTCCTTTCTCCTTTAGGACACGGCCTCTACACCAGCCTGCCTCTCCTCGGCTTTGCTGGGGGCTCGGGCCAGGGCCCTACTTACTCAACAAGAGAAGGGAAAACCCGCAAAGGTTTCCCCACGGTATGTCGGCGAAGGAGCTCCAGTGCTCCACTTTGGTGAAGTAGAGGACGACAGGGACACAGGTGACGAAGACGGCGTTGAACACGGCCAGGATGGACAGGAAGAGCGCGGCCTCCCCGAACTTGGCACTGCCCAGCAGCAGCTTGAACAGAACCTGCGGGAGGGGGTGGGGGCAGAGGGCGTGAGACCTGCTGGGGTGGGGCGTGAGGCTGCCTGGGCCCTGGCTGACAGAGGTGGGGCCTTTCTTTTTCTCTTATTGTTGACAATCACATTTCTATTGTCTTTAGGTAGTTGTACAAAGGGGTAAATATTCCTCAAATCAGTTTATAAGTACAATGCATCATAATCGCTATCACCCCTTCCGTTGCTCTCTCCAGTCCCTCCTAACCCAACCCTTCCCCTCAATTTTCCTAGTTTCACGGGCTAGGTATTAAATATTATGACTGTGTTCTCCCACTTCTTCCTCTCTGAGATGAGACCTTGAAAACTGGGCTGAGCTCCAGAGTAACGAGGACTACAGGTAGGAGCCACTGTACCAACTTCACAAACATTTCAATCCCCATACCATAGCAGCTGTATTTTTGTGTATTCAACCCACAAGAAACGAGTGACTTCCTTGTGGATTCACGCTGGCTAGTGGCCACAAAAATCTGCATGTCCAAAGATTTACCTGACCAAGCTGCACTAGATATTCAAGTCTCCAACTCCCCTGGGGTGGATGAGAGTTAGGCCAGCGGCTTGAACCCTAAACCCTAACCACTGTGAGGGTGCATGGCCACTGACTGTGGCAGGGCCCAGGTGGCAGGGCCCAGTGCGGACGCTGTCCAGCCCTCTTTAGCCCTTGGCAACTGTCTTCTTCCCGCACCCTGGGGCCTGCCAGGAGCTCCCTGGGTGAAGGGCCAGCGTGGGCAGCCCGCCCTCCCTGTGTGTACCTTGTACAGGGCTGACATGGAGGCGGAGCCCACCACCAGGGCAATGCCGATGACAGAATGGCTGTGGAAGCCGTCGGCGTAGGTCATCATCACGATGCCGGCAATGGCAAGGATGGCGGCCACAATCTGCAGGGAGGAGGAAGGAAGTGGTGGTGAGGCTGGGGCGGGGAGGCTGCCAGGCTAGAGGTGGGGAGGGAGAGGAGGGAATGTGGCATCTCGTCCCGGGCCTCCTGCGGGGTCAGCAGAGGTGGCCCTGCAGCTGTCCTGTTGCTGTTGAGGGACTTGGCCACGTGCAACATAGCCATGGAACCCAGTGGGTGACGTCGGCAGTGTGGCCCAGCTCCGCCGCTGGCCGCTGTGCCTGACCGTGCCGCCCAGAGCCTGTGACCGTATTCTGGCACCAGCTACTTCCAAAAGTGCACTCGTGTGAGCCTGCCTGCGCATCTCCCACCCACACTCCCTGGTACCGGGTTGGGACACAGAGAGGGACGCACGCTTGCGGGGCAGGCGCTCTTCCACCTGAGCCACACACCCACAGCCTTCTGCTTTTATTTACGTAACACGTTTGTGTTTGGGCTGATCTGGGATCATAGATCAAAACCTCTACCCCTGGCTGGCTGGTTGAGATGAAGCTTCACTGTTTGCCCGGGCTGGCCTCAAACCAGGATCTTCCCACTCTCCCAACCAGCTGGGATTACAGTCATGAGCCACTGCACCTGCCTGGCTGCTTTTATTTCTGTTTCATTTTGATCTCATCAGGGAACACAGACCCCATATTCAGCAGCCCCTGTCTCCATTTCTCATACCACTAGTGGTTGCTGAGCACTGTCCATCAGTCAGGGCTGCAAATGCCCGGATCCGATAGGGAGTTACCCAGCCTCCCCTCCCACTGGCCCTGTGCTTCCTGGAAGGGGGCATATTGAGATTGCAACCCAAGGAGCACGGGCTCAGCACACACGACCAGATCCAATCAGAAGCAGCCACAGAGCTATACCATACCTGGGGCGGGGGGGGGGTAGGGGAAGGCAGGGGGAGGGCTGTGTGCATGTACACATGTGTGCATGCGTGTGTGTGCGCGCATGCGTGTGTATGTGTGTATGTATGCACGCATGTGTGCTCAATTCCATTCTTTTCACCTTGTAGGTGGAACAACCAGTCTAAGAGAGGTTAAGTAAGCAGCCTGAAGTCACACAGGTGATGGTGATAGAGAGCCACAGGGCTGGCCGTCTGCGTGCAGCATTGGTACACTATGTAAGGCAAGCATCTCTCTCTCTCACACACACACACATGGAATATATATATATATATATATATATATATATAATATTATATTATATTATATTTAGCAGGTAGGCTGCTGCCAGCTGCTGGCTTGAAGGTGCCCGGGGCCTCGGATTGCAGTGCAGTCTTTAGGTTACTAAAAGGTGAGGTGGCTGTGTGCTAATGTCACCCTGTGTCCCAGTCACACACTTCTGGGCACATTTTTGCAGCACTCCTGTAGAATCCTGTATCAACTCAGAGACTGTTACAGTTGTGCATGAAACAGATACCCTGGTCTCAAGCCTGGCCTCCACTGCCCGCCTGTCCTTCTGGCCTAGCAGTCTGCTTGGCGTCAGCGGCGGCCTTGAGCATCTCCCTCCCCCCCTCCCTCCATCTAGCACACACTTCACATTTGAATGCTGAGTGGATAGAGGTAGCTCAACAAGCATGGTCCCCTCTCTGGAGAGTATGACAGGCCCCCGGTGGAAACTGAGGGACATGGGGTAGCTTTGGCCACAGGGACACATGTGGCACAAAGTTGCGGCTCCACTGATGGTCCAGGATTGGGGAGGGTAGGAGCCGACGCTCGCATGCGGGGCTCCAGCCTTCCTTGAACTCAGGAAGTCAGGGAAGTAGAGAAGAGCTATCTTCCTAACTGACTTCCAACCCCTCATCTCTTTCCTACTAGCTGAACAATGAGCCACTGAGAGCCTGCCCCAGGGCTGGCCGGAGGGGCACCAGAGAGGCCAAAGGGCTGAAGGGGAAGCGAGAGAGAGAAGATGGCTGCCACCCCACTTCATCACCCCAAGAGACCAGCCCCTGACATTCAAGGAGCTGCAAAGCCTGAGGCCTCACTTCCAGGGGCACCAGAAACAGTGCTCCCTGTGGGGTCAGCACAAGTCCTGGGGACTGAGGCTGGCTGTGTGGGCTCCAGCAGTCCTGCTGTGAGGTCAGGTACATGGGCAGCATCTGCCTCACACACTGGACCCCTTGGAGCAGAGGGCTCAGCCCCAGCAGGGACTGCAAGATCCTGGCCCTGCTAGCTGGTCATGGCCCTCTTCCTTCACACCTGGACAGAGCAAAGCCCACAAGTCCTTGCCGCTGTCCAGCCCACATCCCCCCAAATGCTGCGCCTACGCATGGGGGGAAGCTCCGGAGCGGAGGCTGAGAGACAGGCCTCATGCCCAGAGCACATAGTATTCCTGGATCTGGTTACACACGCTGAGATCTGTTTGAGGTGGGGATGGGGCCTTAGGTCCATGGGGTTACCCCCTGGCTGCCTGGCTCACCCTCAATTCCTCCTCGCACTTAAGCCCTCACCACATTGCGGTACATGACCGGCTGAGAGCAATCAGAGGTTCCAGTGCCCTGAGACAGAGGCTGGCGCGCTCTGCCCAGTGTCCCGCCCAGCCCGGCCCTTAGCTCTTCCTGCCCGTCCTGCTGCTGCCTCGGACACTGTCAAAAGAATCAGGCTGGTGCATCCACCTCTGTGGATTGACAAGGAACAACACTGAGGAAGGAGAGCGGTAGGCAAGCTCCATAGGCACAGCCGACATCAGCTCAACTAGGGCCAATGCCATCCACACAGAGACCAGGGAAACGAAGCCCCAGGGACAATTAACGTCCTGCAAAGGATCCAGAGCCAAGCTGGGGATCACACCTATAATCCTGGCTAGTTGGGAGGCTGAGATGGGAGGACCACAGTTCAAGGTCCAGGTAAAAAGGTCCATGAGACATAATCTTCATGAAGAAGCCAGGCAAGATGTCTCTCTTACCTATCACCCAAGCTCCCACCATCAATACAAAGTAGGAGGACTGCAGTCCAAGTGCATGTCAGAGCAAGAAGCAAGAAAAGCGTGGGTGGCACAACGCAGGGTAGAGCACCTTTCTAGCAAGCACAAGGTCCTGAACCCACAGCCCAGCTCATGTTGAGAGGACGTCCAGTCCCACAGGCCACTGCCTCTCGTGTCTGCGAGTTCCAACACCCATCACATGCCACAGCCCCCTTGGCACCCACTGGTACCGTGGCCTGCCTAGAACTTCAGTGTGCAGCTGTGAGGTGGACACCCGGAACAGCAGTCTGGGACTCAGGGTGTCCTTCGACTTTCATGCCTCCTTTGCCTAGTGAGCCCCAAAGACACCCTGTCTTCTTCTGCTAAGTAAGTTGCAAACGGACCCTGAGGCGTTTCTCCCCTGTCACAAGCTCTCATGTGGAAAGTTCCACGGATTCTTTTGGCTCTTGGCACCAAAGTAAAGCCGGGAAGGACACCCAGGACGCAGAGATCCCTGGATGGCTGGCCAAGGGTGGGTGGCAGGCGGGGAGCACCTGCCGTCCCCGCAGAGACGCATTGGATCATTTGTTTACTGAGGGCTTTTCTGGAGAGCAGGTTTTTATCCCAAAATTAACAAAACTAATTCTCCCCTTGCTACAAGCTAAAAATACAACCCGACCGTTGAGTCACAGTCCCACGGCTGTGTGAATAACTGGGGGGTGGGGGCGCCCTCCCTCAGGTGATGTGATGGCCCCAAGGAGGTGGCCAGGGCAGAGGGGGGCTTGGGGTCTGCCCCACCCCCCCTCCCCGCCTTAGGGCAGGAGGCCACAGTGCTCTGACCGGCCCTCTCCCTGGTGGATAGTTACAGCTCCCAGCCACCAGGGGGAGCCAGTCAGAACCCTGGCCCCTCCTTCAGGGCTGACCACCACGTGCCAGCTGGCGTGTGCTAGGGTTTCTGTCACGCTTCACACATTGCTAGGGTTTCTGTCACACTTCACACATGCCTGTGGCGTCTGACTAGCCCGGAGGGAAATGTACTATGTCTCCTGTCACACACAAGGCAGCCCGTGGGAGTCAGGTGACCCATGACCTGCTCAGTTCAAACACAGCACTCAGACTCACATGGGCCTGCACACCCAGGTCTCAGACGCACCCCAACCAGGAAGCAGCGACATCAGCGGAGAGCTCAGGGCCATGGGACACAGACAGGGCGCCAGGAGTGACCCCGGGGTCACCGGCACACAGTGGCACGAGGAGTGGAGAGCCAGGCCTCACACCGGCTCCAGAGCAAGCTGGGGGCATGCGTGGGGTGATGAGTGAACACACGCTTGTGAGCGGGGAGCGCAAGGCGGGCTCCGGTTCTGCTGCAAGTTAGAGGCCAGGGGTTAGCTGCTGATCCTCCCAGCCGAGCCCAGGGAGCCAAGCAAGCCAATGGGTGGGTGCAGGGTGGGTGGCGGGGGTGGGGGGTGGCTGGGGGGGGGAACAGGGCTGTGAGCCGAGGAAAGGGAGACAGACAGGGAGAGGAACTTACCCTCACTCCCATGAACCTGTCCCTGAGAACGGTCCATGAGAGCAAGAACACAAATGCTTTGTTGCAGCAGAACAACACGGAGACGTCCGTAGTGTTTATTTTCTTTATTGCATGTAAGTACAGGTAGTTTGTCAGGGTCCAGAGAACCCCGAAAGGGGCAGCCTTGGTAAAAAACACCTTCAAAGTCAAGCCATTCTCTCCAAACAGTCCACAGCAGTCCCTGGAACAAGGAGAGAGAGGCAGCGTTATTACACTCGAGGGCTGAGCAGACTGGCTTCCTCTACCGAGCTACTTTATTGTTTGTAGAGAAAATGTAGGAAGGCTCAGGGTCTATTTCTTTATTCTCATTTTAATCAATATCATCAATAAAGACTTTCTGGGAAAGCCCTAAGACCTATTGCTTTTGTCAGCTGAAGGGGCTCACAGCTGTTGCCCCATGGTACTGGCGCTGATGGCTGTGCTGGGAAGGGCTGTTGGGGCTGTCTGCTCTGAGAGCCAGTGGCTCTGCCCGCTGGCTGAGAAGAGAAGGAAGTCACTAGACTATGGATATAGGTGAGGGGAGGTGGGGAAGGATGGACACGTGTGTGTGTGTGTGTGTGTGTGTGTGTGTGTGTGTGTATCTGTGTCTGTGTGTGTGTCTGTGTGTGTCTGTGTGTATACTGGGGTTTGAACTCAGTACCTGGGTACTGTCCCTTAGTTTTTTTCTATTCAAGGCCAGCCCAAAGCTCACTTGTGTCAACTGTTCCTGGTGAATTATCTCATGACGCCGTAGGTGTGGTGACACGAGCCAGTGGTTCTAGCTCTTTGGGAGGTGGAAACAAGTGGATCATGAATTTGAGGCTAGCCAGGCAAAGAGAAGGAAGAACACGGTCTCCAAAACAAAGTAAAGGCACAAGAGCTGGGAGTGTGGCTCGAGTAGCAGAGCACTTGCCTAGCATGCTGAAAACATCACGAACCAGTGAAATAGGAGCGAGAAGAGACAGCTGTCTTTCTTTGATCTCCCTATCAAATCTAAGCTGTGAGTGCCCAGGAAGAGTCTGTAGAGGCGTTGAGCTCTGTGAGGCCAGCCCAGGGCGGAACTCTGTCTCTCAGTCTCCTGCCACTGGACAAACACTCCTGTCCCACTGCCCTCTGTGGACTCCTAACTGTGATTTCCAGTCATCTAGTTCAAACCAGTGAACACCTGCTGAGCATGTGCTCCCGGGGTCTCAGTGGGGGAAGGAAGCACACAGCCTTCTCAGATCACAGCCAGGAGCTGTGATGGCCATACCACAGGCCCCCGAGAAGCTAGGATTACAGGTGTAGGCCATCAACACCCACCATCAAGTTCAGTTTTTGTTTTGTTTTTGTTTCTGTTAGTCCTCTAGTTTGAACTCAGGAACTTGGGCTTGCTAGGCACGTGCTTGGCCATGGATCCAGATCTCTAGCCCCTAAAATGACTGAGTCAGTTGTTTTATACTTAATTCCCAAGAACAGTCTCTGCTCTTGGGAAGTTCATGGCACCATGAAAAGAGAAGACTGACATTTTGGCAGAAAGCAGTGCAAAGGTAACTCCCAAGCCGTGCTCACTGTACAGACCTAGGTAACTCTCCCCTCTGGGCTTCCTACTCAAGGTGGAGCTGGGTGCTTGGGAAGAAGCTCACGAAAAGATGTTGATTTTGCAGGGCAGGTGGGGCGCATAGAAGAGGAGGAACAGAGGAAAGGAGAAACAGCCTCTGTGAGAGGGGGCACATGGCTATCCACAGACATAATCTTGGACACTGACAATAGGATAAAAATGTGAAACTACGAGAGCTGGAGTATAAATAATCTTCCAGAACGTGACAGAGAAGAGAGCGGGAAAATGAGAAGAGCCAACCAGAGTGTGTGACCTGGAACCCAGGAAGCCCCACAGAGAGGAAAAATGAGGAAAGATGAGGTGGAGGAATGACCAAGGAAAGAATCCCCGGAAGTTTCTTAGACGGGAAGGACTTGACTGCTCCTGCCTTGAAGATGTGCTGGGGATCAGGGAGAGTCGCCAGCCTGTGCTTTCCCCACGCGCGCGCCGGCCCATCTCCTGGCCCTCCACCTGTGCCTCCACCTTCCCACCTGACCCGGCCCTCCCAGCCCTCCTTCCCCTGCCCCACACCCTCACTTTCCTGGGTCTCTGCATCCTGTGTTCCCCACTTCTCCCCCTCCTGCTCTCTGCTTCCTGTCTGCCCCCTGCCCCCCTGGAAACCCCAGGCCCACTGCTCAGGACCCCATAGGCATGTTTCAGGGGTTCACTTGCTCCAGCAAACCTCTGATTGTGGACCACCCCAGGATCGCCCCCTCTGTGTAACTCAGCCTGCTCCCCCAAGCTTCCTCCCACCTCCCATATCTCCAACTCTCCCCACATCTCCACGGGACATGTCCACTGCTCCCCACAGCTCCCTCCAGCTCCTCTGCCTGCCCTGCGCACCCCAAGTCATCATCGGAGCCTGTCTCACTGATGGACACCACCTTGGTCATGGACTTTCCTGCACACACACCTTCAGTCACCTGCCTCCATCCTCACGCCGCGGGTGAGCCTGCACTCTTACCCTGTAACCCTCCCTCCCAGCTCCACCCTTCTCTCGCTCACACACGGGCCAGGCCCTGGTATTTCTCCTAGGCAGGCACCATGGCCTCCAAGCCTGACTATCCCCTCTGCTAGCACCATGGGGTGGGGGTGAGGAGGGCTAGGAGCCGAATGCTGCAACCCAGACTCCATTTTTCCCCAGCATAAGCAGATTGAGGATCACTGTCAGTCTCTATACGATCCCCAGCCCCTCACTGGGTTTATGAAGTCCACAGCCCCGGCAACATTTCTTGGTTCCCAATTCCTAAATCATGGCCTAAGGGTCATCCTCCCCATCCCCCCCCTGCCCCCACCTCCAGCAGCTCAGTGTTGATGCCAACAAGTATGAACACTCACCCAGCACCTGAGACCCAGGCTGTGATGCTTAATTTAAACAGGTGAGTGGGTATTTTATGCATAAGGTATGAGTATACTTAGGTTTTGTTATTGCAAATGTGCATGAAAAAACGTGGTAACAGGAACAGATATCTGAATGCGCTCACAACTGTCGTTTTAGCTCCCAAACCAGCCAAGACGCTTTCCGTGCCCAGGTTTCCACGTGTGTATTTTGTGTACAGTCCTGGGCTGGCACGCAAGGGCTCACACTCTCACTCGGTTTTCCACTCGAGGCTGGCACTCTACAACTTGAGCCATAGTTCCACTTCTGTTTTTTGCTGGTTAACTGGAGATAAGAATCTCCCAGACTTTCCTGTCTGAGCTAGCTTCACACCCAAATCCTCAGGTCTCAGTCTCCTGGGTAGCTGAGATTACAGGCATGAGCCACTGGTTAATACACATGTTTTTATGATAATTTTTTTTCTTTCTCCCCCAACCCCTGCCCTTCCCTGCCCTTCCCCACAAGAAGGAACTGAAGGTTTTTATAGCTCCAGGCAAACTTTTCTCATCATTGCCAGGAAAGTGAGCAAACACATGGGTCAGGAAGGAACTCTATCCTGGAGACCACACCAACACATCAAGAAATCAGTGGCCTGGCCACCATCTTTTGGAAGTCCTGCCTCAGCTTTGATATGCCCACCCCCTCTTCCCCGGGCCTCCCTATGAAACCTGCCCACTCCCCATCTCTCACGGCCAGCATCATGCTTCCTTTACACTGTGTCTGTGAGCCATGGCCTCTGTGCCCTTCTTCTTGCCAGTGCTATGCCGTTTTGATTTCTTACAATGAAGTCTTCAGCTTTGCTCCTTCTCAACATGGCTGTGGCTATTTGGTGTCCCTCTAAATTTGATAGAAATTTTAAGATGAATTTGCCTATGTAGGATTGAATTAAACCTGAGGATTGCTTTGGATAATACGATATCTTAACAATACTAAGTCTTCCAATCTATGAACACTGGCTATAGTCCAGCTTTTTCTGTCTTCTTTAATTTCTTTCAGACATGTTTGATAGTGTGTGAATGTGCGTGTGTGTGTGTGGGGGGGGGATGGTTCTGGGTCTGAACCCAGGGCCTCGCTCAGGCAAAGCAAGTTCCCTAGTGCTCTTTCCTTGAGCCCCACTGGCAACCACTGCTCTGTATTTTGTTTCTGAAATGGAGGCATCTTACTAACTTGCCTGGGCTGCTCTGAATCATAATCCTCCCGTCTCTATCTCCTGAAATGTTAGTGTGTTTTGGGCATGTGCTACTCTTTTCTGTGTGTAATGTTTTATAGTTTCTAATATTCAACGTCTTCATCTCCTTAGTCCAGTTTATTCCTAATTATGAGATTATCTTGGTAGTAGTAAATGGAACTATTCACAAGAAATACTAGAGGAAATTTTATATTAGAAGATTTTTTGGAAGTATAACACACATTTGTTAGAGTGCACAAATTTCTATAAAGCGAAATGACGCATATAACACCACCTCTACCAAGATACAAACTGTCCCAGCACTCCCGAATCTTCCAGTGTGTTCTCTCCAAGTCACTGCTCTTCCCGCCAAATGTAATCATTATTCTGACTTCTGTCTCATAGTTGATTTTTTTCTTTATAAATATGGAGCAACACATTATGTACATTTTGTGTCATTTCTTTCATGCCATATGATGCCCAAGAGAGTATCCAAATTGTGTGCATAGCAGGTGCTCACTTTCTTATACAGCATCTGACTACAAATCCAGTACACTTAATTGCCCATTCTATGGTTGGTACTGAGTGCCTTGGATCACAAATAATGCTGTATGGAACATTCTTGAATATATCTTTTAAAGCACATATATAGGCTTTGTTGAGGTGTATACCAAAGAGTAGAAATAGGGGATTAGAGAATATGCACATTTTTAGCTAGAGAAAATAGTGTCAGAGATTTCCAATATAGTCCTACTAGTTCATGGGACCATTAATCTCTAAATTAATTTTAGTCCATTTACATTTAATGTAACCATTGCTATATTTTATCATGTTACTATGTTTTTTACAATTTTTCCCATTGTTACTTACATTTGTTGTGTTGTTGGTCATGAGGCTTGAACTCAGGGCCTGGGCGCTGTCCCCGAGCTCCTTTGCTCAAGGCTAGAGCTCTACCACTTTAAGCCACAGTGCCACTTCCAGTTTTCTGGAGGTTAATAGGAAATAAGTGTCTCACAGATTTTCCATAAGGGCTTTACAGCACTTTAATTCCACCTAGCTCACTTAAAAATATTTTTT